TGCGGTAGAGATCCGCTTGTTGCAATTAAGCTGCAGATCTGCTTGACATAATGCAGTGAACGTAGTTGATTGTAGACGCAATAAATACTGGTAACCTTAGATTCACATTTACTTCCCATGTAACCGTTTTCACATCACCGTAAAATTAAGTGTCCTGTACGCTATATATACCTGGTCGAGAATGGAAGCAGCTGTCTTGTTATTGTCTAAGTTAGGCAAAATCGACATTTGCTTAATTACAGAGGGCTGGTCATTCCACATATAATATCAGTAGGTAAACGCTGTACTTTAGTGATCGAGTTTGAACGCCACATGCTTTCGTGCGGATAGGGAGGTGTCGGATCCATTGATATTCGATCAAATGTCGATCAGTAATCAAGTGACTCCCACGAACTATCAGGCAATCACTTCCATTTAGAATACAGAAAAAATGAATTAATCAGAATCAAGTACGATAAAACATAGAGCGCTTCTTCCTGCACTTAATTGCTAGCTAATAGAGACATGCTGATTGTTGATCCGTTGCAAGCATCATGCAGCTCGTCTGTGGTTGATTGAAACAGCCCCCACCACACGCCGCTGAATACGTAATGCTTCTATTGCACCTATTCGATTGCAAAAATGAGATATTGGCGCACTGCGTAAGATAGACTACTAAAGTCGAGCACAGTAACGTCGTTGACATTGTCGATAACTATCATTGCGAGTCCTATGGGTCAGTATACTAGTGGATATGCTCAAGGTTAACGCCATCTTTCAAACTTGATTTCAGTCTGTGCGTGTGTTTTGATAATCGGCCCGCAAAATACGCTAGAAATACCTTACACGTCTTACTAAGTTTGATGTAGCGTGTCACGACCTCGTAGCGAGATATGGGGGATATGCATCATAGTGCAGCTCTACCACTAGGTCATTATTTGCGACCTCATAGAGAGTATAATTCACACGCATTCACGCACCAATGCGCTCACGTGACTGTATCAAAGTATTATAATGGCGAACAATGGGCAAACCAACAAATACTTCACGCTTCTGCAGCAAATTACTTGTACCTCCAGCAAACGGTAAAACGATGATTGGCTTTCATCCGGGGTACTGGGTAAACTGAAATAATGAAAAAAGTGTAGCATTCTCTCCCGGTGGCGAAAAAAACTCTCTTGATCAAATTTCTGGTTTTCATTAGTACATATTATGTCGTCGATCGATTTTAGAGATTTCACCGAGAAGGATCATCCCTATATCTCGTTTTTTCGCATATTTGTATCCTTAAAATTATCTTTCTCGCTCTAAGAATGTTTCTCGCTATGATATATCAGGTGGGGGTGATCTGTTTTATTTCCAAACCATACTGGAGCTCACACGGTTTACACGGCGTGCACAAAGATTGTGATGTTATTTTTCCTGCACGGTGTTGCGCAATTTCAATAAATCGTGCTATTTTGATGATCTTATATCATACTGACGGGATTTACAGGACGACTGAGGCGAAACAGATCACCCCCACCTGATATATCATAGCGAGAAACATTCTTACCACCCACTGACGCATATATCGCTGCCTACAAGTGCAATGACGTAACTTGCTGCTATACCAGGGTCGGCTTTTCATCGTGACATGCGCGATTGCACGCTTTAGTGGACGTGAAAACGTCATAAGTCCGCAAAATGTAATAAAAACTATCCAAGAAAATCATCGCGCTAGAGATCTCAAACGAAAGAGCGCAGAATTGGCTTCAAAATGACAAGTGGACATTTAAATAACAGGTGAAACTGATAACATTTCCCTTACGCATGCCTATAAAGTAGCTAATTGTGTGGTATTATGCCGATGTGAGGGTAGACGAACGGTTTGCTTTCACTATTGTATGATACGAATGCACAACACACGATCTAACTTTCCAATAGCCGATCTACCTGAATTGCGCACGCAAACTTACAGTACGTAAATTTATTTTTTCCAGGACAGAATGACTCATCTGATCAAGCAAACTTCAGAGCTAGCTCTTGTGTGTCACATTGATGACGATGTATAATCGTCAGTTTCGTCGCATGTTCCGCTGCTATCATGTAACTAAGAGATTTTAATGCAGAATCAAATTTGCTAGGTATCAAAAAGCTACGAATTAATTCTAAAGCGCAATACATCATTAAAGTAACGCCGATTGTGCAGGTAAAGCTGCAAGTTCAACCAGCAACACCGAGATGGCTCTTTTCCGTGGTCGATTATTGTATCATTAGTAGAAGTGCCTTTCAAGGTGTCAATTTTATACATTTTTGATTGCAAACGCGTTGTTTTACGAAATACTAGTCGCTTTCTAGAACGCACTTCATCAATATCTAAAGCAACCTTTTTTTCGGTAACAGACAGCAGAATAAGGCGCCTCTCTGATTTTACAATGCACTCTCCACATTTTCATGTTATCGGGTAGAATATAGCAGATTTGATTGCAATACACTCCTGAATGGAACGAGAGCATCGAGCGCATCGACTTATCCAGAATTTAGCTACAAATTTGCATACGTATCAAAAATACATCTACAAAGAAGAATTTGTGCTCGACGAAAGTAAATCATAAATATCAAGTAATCGCACACAAACAACATCTACAGGAACGTTATAAATTGCTCTCATTAAGCAATTATTTGTAGCCAGTCCAAGTGTGTCGTCACGATAACAACATGTGTGCACCGGTAGTATTTTTTACAAGCTGTACGAACGACGTGAATAAGTCAATGCCTACTGCGCTCGACGAAGCCATAAGCAAGAAGTGCACGTTCGTGAAATCACCTTCAATCACCATAGGAAAACATCCTCGTTCCCCTTTGTTAGGTCGTGGAGATCGTGGTCATGACGATCGTATACTGTAGGTGTCAAAGCAACGTATTAGAAAGCCATAACAATTTAAATAATTGGCAGTTCAAACACTACTGTAAATGGGCACACCAAATTATTAGAAAAGAAAACAATGAGAAATAAAGTTCATGCCGCTTTTGGCAAAACGAAAAGTTGAGAGAGGCGCAATCAGCGTTATTGCCATCAACAGCTCACCCGTACACGTATTATCGTCGTATTGCATCGCATCTTAAATCCAGCAGTTGCAGAAGTTACTAAAAAATGCAGTCGTGTAAGGACGTGTTTCGAAATGTAAAGGTTTATGTGATGTTATTGCGTATCCATCAAAATTTGTTGTGCCAGAACGCTCACACTTCGCTAATGAGACGCATAATAATTGGCGAGAATTTCGGTCGCGAAGGTAGGAGCAAAAAATCACCTTCGTTGCAGCTACCACGCTAGATCGAAAGGAGATTCGAATTCATCTCTTACAACTCATAAAATGAGATTCGAATCGATACACTAGGTTTTCATCACGTGGCTCCGAGTACCGATGAAAATTTGAGCTTCACTTTTACATCAACCGTTGGGTACAAAGGAATGCATGCTTCAAGATTTTTAGCTGTAAGTACAAATGCGGTCGTTTTTTGCCACCCCGTGAGAGAGAACGGTGATGTTTTGCTTTACATCCTGCATCACTGATTTGATATAACTTGTATTTGCAGCTCGATCATATGGCGGACATTGTTTTGCTTGGGGTTCCGTTTTCTACTGTTTTCGCGTTATGTCAGTGGTCGATGATGTACTGCGCACTCGTAGGGAACTAATTTTTAACATAACCATACATTAATTGTATCACCAACTCACGATTATACCGATGTACAATAAGCAGCTGCAGAGTAGACCTAATGTTGTCGATAGCAGAACTACCACTTGGTGCTGCATGCAGCGATTTGGATTTAGCTGGGAAAGTTATGGTGGTTACTAAGCATATATCATCTTGTCATCGCTGTTAGCCGCGTATACTTTGCAGCAACCTGAAAAGACGAGACTGAGCACAATGAGATTTTTGTGGGTATTTCCATTTAATAGACACTTATTTTTAGCTAATCTTTTGCTACAGGAAGGAGATGTTTCAGCTTTGATACGTTCAGCATCAGCATCGCATAAGTGGTAAGATACCACACTTCTGTATTTCATCCGACTTTCCGTGAGAAAAAGATGAACGAGCCAAACTGCTTGTGAGCGTTTAGCTGAATTGCAGCCACCTCGCCAGTCCGATGTGTCCACCATACATTGGTATCGAATGAAGCATTCAAGTCTTGTGTACTAGGGTCTTCAAATTACGATTCGGCCCAAACCGGGTTTGGAAATGCTCTTACCGACCTTTTACAATCCAGGCAATTGGCTTTGCTCGTTATTTCAGGATGTAGGGCTGAAAACGTCACACCCATTACAATCACGATCGCGAAATGACTGCTCACACGAAATTAGTGCCTGTACATACTCTCTCGGCAGCGTACAATTGAATGGTTAAGCGCCACTCAATATAGCGTGAACGTTTCTGCGATTGCGTGGCCTTGCGGTCGTGGTACCCATTTTCTCTTTCTTTTGTGGTCAGAAGGTTGTAGTCGTGACGTTTGACGATTCAGGTACATCTCTACGCCTCGTGTATTGTAGTCATCGGGTCAGAACATTCTTACCGACACTCAGCAACGAGCCCATAAATCAGACGAAACTAGCGCTGTCCATCGTACATCAGGTACCGGCTATTGTGCTTCTACTACATTAAAATCATCAGCTCAGCCGCACGAAATCAGCAATCGGATTGTCATCTATTATCGATAATGGTCTCGCTTACAAGCCTGTGTAAACGAAAAGGGATCGCGATATATCAGCTGTCACGACTGTAGTAATCAGGTCGGTTTTGAAACATACACACCACAGTCCACACTAGGTGAAACCACAGCGGCGAGTCTTACGCGCCATCACGGTGTAATGAATTATAAGAGCAAGTCAGTACATAACCGAATTGAAGAAAACAACGTAGCGAACCTGAAAAAGTGCACAATGTTTAGCAAAGCGAATGTATAATCCTGTCGGCCAGTGTAGTAGGCCCAGCTACAGCTACCGTACAACTCAAACTGTCGCGAAAATCCCGGTGCAATCATTTCCCTTTCTCGTCTGTTCTTTTCCTATTCTCGAAGGTTTGAAATCTTGTGTACATGCGTGTAATCGTTTTTCGGTCGTTGGAACTCAGACCTTTCAAACGGTCTTGCAAACCTGAGGTAGGTGTGACTTTGTCTTCTGCCGCCCATTTAGTGAAAAGGGCTAACTTACAACTCAACCATCCCTCAGTCTCCACTTTATAATTTACAAGTGCGCGTAGAAAATCAGCCTTTCCACCAAGACTGTCCGTAATTAGTTTGAATTCAGAAGTCTTCTCCGCAGGGTTCGCTTTGTTGATGGCAGCCACATATTTCCTCACCAGTCCATAAGTAAAACCGTCAAAGATATATTCTGGTAGTGAACCCGACTTCAGCTTCTGTAAAACATCCAATGGGTTCGATGAGCAAGTTCTCAAAGCGATTGTTTCCAGCTCCTTTGCCACCCCGGCGGTTCCCACGAGTCGTAACGCCTTGCGCAACATGTCCAAGAATCCCTTTTCCCCGCCAAAGACAGTCTTTACGGCGTCCAGATAATCTCGATCGTCTATCTTCGCGTACTGGCGGTAGGCTTTCAGTACTTTCACTCTTTCATCGTCGAAAAAGTTGCGAAAAACGAGGGTCTCATGTCCTTCCGCCACGTTCAGCTCGAGATCACTGAAAACGGTACCAATTGGTGATTTCTGGTCACGCCAATGCTTCAACATGTCCACCGCCAGCTTCTCCTCGACAGACGCAGATTTCTTGTGCAGTTGAAGGACTCCAGCATCGTTAAACTTTAGCGCGGGAGAGAGCGCTCGTGCCACTTTGAGATATCCGAAACGATCAAGAAGGGGCGTGATCATCGACTCTCCAGACCTTTTGTAGCGGGCAGACAAGCCCTTCCACTTTTTGGTTTTCAGTGCATTGGCGATACCAGTCCCGGAGTCGCTCGCCGCGACTGGGGTCGCCAAGGAGTCGAAAATCTTCTGCTTCTCTCCCTGCGCCGCCGTCTGGACCTTTTCTTGTACCTTCCCAATCCAGGAAGAGAAGCCGGTTACGATTCTTTCACCTTCGTTCACTGGACTCTCGCTCTCCGACGGTATCGTGACAGGAACGTTTTCGTGGTCGTTTTCGGTCAATGAACGAGCGACCGACGAAGAGAAGGGCCCTGCCACGTTTGAATCCACAGGTTCCAAGACGCCGTCACCACGAGCTAAAAGAGCAGATGACGCCACAAAAACAAGGGAGTGGACGCGCATGGTCGAGACGAAGCTGCTGTTGTTGAGGAAGCAGATTGCAAAGTGATGGATGGAGACTCGACGACTCCCCGAGCGATGAAGCGACCACACGATCAAGCCAGCCAGTCATTGGCGTAAATTCTAGAGCAAATCTCATTATCAGGACCACAAATGTCCAAAAGTCCCAAAAGCAGGACTATAGTTTAAACAAGTCTAAAATTGATTGATACTTAATGTTAGCCACATTATACTCAACTGCAACATGGGATATGAAACTGCCTGATCACTAATGAGTCTACCCAATTTTTAGACAACTGTCGCGAGTGGTAAAAAACGCTCTTTTTTACCGACGTTCGTTTACTTCTCAATTTGCGCCTACGAGCCGATGTGCCCATTTTGGTTCGGGCACATTGCGTGCGAGCCAGGGCCCAGTCGCATGCACCCGACGAGCTCGTGACCGAAGGACTCAGTTATTACACCTTGCACTGTCGATTTTGATTAAATCAATAATTCTTTATGTACGCGGTTGCAACAACGCCAGTTCGAAAGATTTTACAATAGGTCAGGTCAGTAGTACCGTGATTAGTGTTATTTTCGATTGCTGCAGTCACTCGAGACATCTCGAAAACTTCTGGTAGTCCACTTCTTGCGCTTACGCTTAATCGCTCAAAATAACCATTCAAAATAAACAGTTTGAGGTAGTGAACAATTTTTTTTAATGATTAATGCTTTTAAGACCAGTACTAATTTCTGAATATACATTACGCATGTATTACACTTGTCTTGAAATTACGCCCTAGTCAGTCAAACAAAATCCTCGCACTGCAACATATCCACACGGACACAGCACAAAATCGTTAAGCAGGACACTCGACATTACTTGAAACCACTCGACGCCGCTCTATATCACCGGACGCCACTTTACATCACTGGACATTACTCGACATCACTTGATATCACTCGACATCACTTAAAACGCGCTGCAACACATACATACAGACAATGCATACGATCGTTAGAAAGCACATTCAACATCGACAGCATAATTACCTGCTACCGCTGCTCATGAGAGTTAATACGATAACGGATTAACCAGTCGCGAGCTCGTCGGGTGCGTGCGACCGGGCCCTGGCTCGCACGCAATGTGCCCAAACCAAAATGGGCACATCGGCTCGTAGGCGCAAATTGAGAAGTAAACGAACGTTGGTAAAAAAGAGCGTTTTTTGACCACTCGCGACAGTTGTCTAAAAATTGGGTAGACTCATTAGTGATCAGGCAGTTTCATATCCCATGTTGCAGTTGAGTATAATGTGGCTAACATTAAGTATCAATCATTTTAGACTTGATTAAACTATAGTCCTGCTTTTGGGACTTTTGGACATTTGTGGTCCTAATATTGAGATTTGCTCTAAATTCTACAGCACATCTCCCTGTAGCTCTTGATGTCTCATTCCGGGCAAGTGACATTTAGGACCAGAAGAGAGTGCCAGTGAGGCTAAGATACTGCCTTACTTGATAACCTTTCCAAACAGATTGATAGAGCAGGTCCCGACTGTTCGATGCTGGCTTTCGACATTCAGTCTCATTCAGCACCTCGTATGGTTGACAAAGATCTCCAGACAATAGCGTATCTGTTTGAGCAGGCAATGTTGTACGAAGAGACAGCTTAGGACATCATTGTCGCGGTGTGGGTGGGACAAACAGGGAGTACTTATCCTGACTTCGTTTCAACACATCTCGTCCTTTATTCCATGGTGCGCCGCTCGTATCGATCAAGTATTTCAAAGTGCAGGAGCATGAGGTGTTCTTACATCCAGAATGTCATGGACAGAGAAAGCTTTCAACGTGTATCAGTTACATGCATTGACCCAACGTTTGCTAAACGGACTTGTAAGAGAGAATCGTACAAGCGCTAGTGTGTGTGTGGATCTCAAGTATTAATGTTGAAAGTGCATGTCAACAGAAACGCTCATAATAGAGCTAAATATTAAGCTGGTGGTGGATCTTTATAAGGAGTTGCCGTTTGCTAAAGCGTAATAAAAAGGAGTAACGATCATTTGGAGTATCAGTCATATGGTACCAAAGAACATCTTAAAGCACTATGCGACACCGTGCTACGCGTGAGAAATAAATCAATAGCGACAGGACCGATTGGATGTCGCTGTTGTATCCTCCATCAGCACTCGTGTCGATTACTTTGAGAAAGACTTGTTCTTCGCGTACTAAGAAGACGGTAGTGGAGTGGGTCGAGAGAAATCGTCGCGTGAAAGTGCATGCAGAGCGCGAGAGATGTACAGCGGTTCTACACAGACCAAAACACTTGCATCGCTCTATTTCTAACCATATTTTTGTAAAAGTCGAGAGTGGGACGGGAGAGCTGAACGACCCTAGGAGACGGTGTGCCGTCGCTGAACGACGATAGGCGACAGATGCTTTCTGGGGCGTGAGTGGCCGACCCTAACCCAGAGTTCAGCTTGAAAAGGGTTTGGATTCGACGCCGTCGCTAAGCGTCATCGTGACGACCGCGGTCTGACTACGTGTATAGGGCGACTGTCTGCAGCGGCTACAGTCCGATTCGCGTGACAATTTCTCATACAAACGTAGACTATCTGAGAAGACCGATAGCGTTGCGTAAACGAGAAGATAGGGGGATTTCAGCTGCAGATAAACCAAAGCGACGGCATAAGGAGGTCAGAAAGAGAGAGAACCAGGAACCTGCAGACACGCGACGGGGGACTCGCGACTACGTCAACGAAAAAGCAACGTCCGTAACTACAATTTACAGTCCCCTAAGCCCTCGATAGAGGAGCTTTTGAACCATTCCTCCAGAATCGACACTGGCTCTCTCTGTGTCCAGCCTGACGATCGTCTGCGCGCAGACAAGAGAAAGGACGGGAGCACACAAACGAACGCAAGTCAAGCAAAAGCGAGTGTGAGCATTGCGAAACAGAGCCGTGACTGCTGGCGCGCATTTGGCTTAAAGCGACAGGACACACGCACTCTCGACCGTCGAGTCTCACGACACATCGTCCCGCCTCGCGCCACTTCATTTGCCCCTGTTGCTCTTCCCCTCCCTGTCTCTTTAGGTATCACAGATCGCTGCGCATGTATTCAGCAGCTCTTCTTGTCGCTGTGGCGCTTGGTGTCGCAACAGCGCAAACGTCCACGCCCGACATGTCCTCGTCCGCCTCCACGAGTGGCAACGATGACATCGCTGCACCTACCCCAGGGTCTGTGTCATGCGTCTTTCGCTACGTGATGCCGACAGCTTCGAATGCCCCGAGCGGAGTAGTTACAAGAACCGAGGTATCCAGTGGTAGCGACAGCGACGACAAAGGCAACGTCAAGGGCAACTTCAACGACAACGGCAACTTCAACGGCAACGACCAGGACGACGATGGCAGAAAAGACGACAACGGGTCAATTGCTTCTTCCGGGAGTGTGGCCGACGGCTCGGACGCGACGTCGCCTGACACTGTAGGCGAGACGCCCGAGCGTCCCCCAGTCTCGTCCTCGTCGTCCCCGAGCGTCCGTCCACCGCTCGAGATGGAAAGCGGGTCGACCGAAGACACGCCGGAGGGTGGTGTGCATGTGCCGTCAAACACTTCCGAGTCGCCGTCGTCGACGTCTCCTCCTGCGCCACCGACGACGCCGCAGCTGCCGCCGTCGTCCAGTACAGAGCCGCCAGCAACCGTCGCGCCTAAACCTCCATCGGCGCTCTCGAGCGGCAATGGCTCCGCTCCCAGCACGGCATTAAGTCCCCCGTCATCTCCACCAACAAAACCAGCGACCACAACGACGGACGACCGTCGCCTCATGAGCGCAGGGAGCGGCACGGCGGCGGAGTCTCCACCAAGCACGACTCCGTTAGCTACAGAGGAGACGCCGCCCTCGGACGTTGGGGATCTGCCCGAGGAATCGTCTCCGACAGGTGCGACGCCAAGTTCAAGCACAATGTCGCCGCCATCGTCTCTCGCAACGACAAGAGCTCCGCTTGCGCCTCGTACGCCTTCAACAGCAGCACCGCCACGTCCATCAGAACCACCACAAGTGACGAAGTTGCCGGCCGGCAGTCCTCCTGCAGCAAAACTGCCGCCGTCAGTCTCCGATTCGGACTCAGGCGCTGGATCTGCAGGACTGCCGACGCCCGTTCTGAACGCGTCGCTGCCGTCGTCGACCAGTGGCTCTGCTTTGGACACAATCAACTCGACGACCAATGCTTCAGACCCCAGTGGACCGATAATCACAACGACGACGACGGCCGCACTCGAGTTCAGCTGCGACACGACGTTCTACAGTGCGTGGACCAAGATGGGACTGACGTGTCAAGGCACGGAGCTCGACGTAACGAAAGCGGCAGCCGGTGCGGAGTGCCTCATCTACTCCGGGACGTCGTCGGGCTCGGAGATCTCGGACCTCGCCACGTGCATGTCGGTCTGCCGCTTTCCCGCGTGCACCAGCAGCACCGGCGAGTGGGACTACGCAGCGGACGACGGCATCAACTCGCCCATCTACGCGAACCTGGACTTTATTAGGCTCATGCAACTCGCAGGCACTCAAGCTGCTGACGCCGTTGCCAGTGCCGTGCAGCAGCCGTTTGCTAACTTTACGTTCGCAGCGACGACCGAGTGCGACTACGTGGATGAGTCGTCGTTCAGCACTTGTCAATGCGCAAGTGCAACGGCGTTCATGCCTCCGTCAAGTGAAGCGGGGGGTCCGTCGATGAATTCGAACGCGCAGTACGCTATTCCTGTTAACAAGGGCCTCGAGGACGCCAATCATTGGGCAGACGGGACGAAGAAGAGCACGGTGGACAAGGCTGGAATTACCTCGACGACTATTGGTAGCAGTGCAGCCACTGTGTCTGTTGTTGCCGGTGGCGTCATGTCGGTTGCTAGTGGCATCGTGGGCGGCACTTCGGCTGGTGTCGCCTCGGGGGTCTCAGCAGCAGCCAGTGTTGGAATTACTATGGCTGCAATTGACATTTGTCAGTTTTCGGTCATGTTGAGTCAGATGAACGTGGATGCCCGACCGCGGTTCATGGAGAACATGGGCAAACAGATGGCTCCTGCTGCTTTTACATTTATGCCATTTGGTAAATCGAAGAAATTGGTGTCTGCGGATGACACGGGCCCTGGCTCGAAAGACTCGACAGCCACTCGGCGTCGTTTAATCACAGGTACCGGTAGTACCAGTGACAGCGGTAGCCTCGGCTCGGGGTCGTCTAGTACGGATACTGGAGTGCAGGGTATGGAGAGGTACGCGTTTCTCATCGGTGTCGATCCCGACATGTTGTTTTACGTGGCGGTAGCTGGCATTGCGTGCATGGTGGGCATTGTCTTCGGCCTGTACGCTGTCGCAATGGGACTGTGTTACTTTATTGTGGAGGACTTTGTGGTCTTTAGCCGCAAGTGGCTGGACAAAGCCATTGGTGTGCTGATGATGATTTTGATTCTGTCCGAGTATGTTATTGGCGCTACAGCAATGTACCAGATCTGCTACTGTATTGATCGAGATACTATCGACATGAGCTTCTTCTTAGCTATTCTCACGCTGCTGGGTCTGGCTTTTGGAACGATTCTGTACGGTGTTGTCGTGATTAAGAACAACGAGGACGAACTGCGTGACTTGGGCACGAAGGACCACTTTGACAAGAAATTCCACAATCGCTACGGACCGTTGTACGACGAGCACAGCTTTGAGGGCCGTTTCTTCTTTGCACCGAAGCTTCTTCTCGCCCTGCTGTGTGGTATGACAACGGGCATGGTGTGGATCCAGGGTCTGTGGCAAATTGTCGTTCTCATTGCGCTCCACATTGCGTTCTTGTTGTACCTGGAAATCAAGCAACCGTATCCGACCGCATTTGTGCAAAAGACGTCGAGTTTTGTCATTATTATCAAGATCTCGGCCTTGTTTCTCAGTTTCTTCCTCCTGTCGAGTGCCACGAGCTTCACACAGAGCATTCCGGACGATCTGCGTGAGGGTGTGGCGTTTGCAATTGTCGGCTTGCAGGTGCTGGTGTTAGTGTGTCTCATGATTCGTCAGGTCTACATCTTTTATCGTACGTGGAAGCTCAAGCGTGACGGTGCAGACAACAAGACGGTCAGGGTGCAGACCACGAACGCCCGTGAGGGATCCGAGGCTTTTTTCGCTCTGGGCGGTAGTGAGCCGCCGCAGTACTATGGTAACAACACTTATCAGAACCGCGGTAATTCACTTGCCGTACTGGGCAACGACTCCACCCCGAAGATGCAAGATCCTCGCCGATACGCGCAGGAGACCCCGTCCAACCTCAATCGCAATCACGGCAATCTACCACAAGAGATCCCTCACCCTCAAGAGTGCAGCAACACTCACAGCATGCAGCGCAGTCACACTGTGGTGCGGCACGAGAACCATTACCGCAACAATGAGGTCGACCTGTAGCGTCGTGTGGGTATGGATACTAGAGGCATGGATTGAAGCAGCTGAGCGCTTGCCTGTGAAAATGTGTGAGGACGTCTGTTTCATTTGATAACTATCAGAACATCGATTGATGTTGCACTTTTGCTAGCGATACGCCGAGTTGAGTGATATCGAGGTGATTGCTTTCGTGCTGTGATTCGGATGTTACACTGTCCAAGGCTTTGTCCGCATATCAAACGACTTTTGATGTGGCTGTAACGATGAACCGCGCTGAGAATGGACGGATAGTCTAGAAGATAGAAGCAGACCTCCTCGTCGCAGCATTACTCAGCAGCAACACTCCATATATTTTACACATTATGACTGGAGAAAATCGTCGAGCTTGATGTAAATACGCGGCTGCACGTACAGCTCCTATTTCCAGTCTGCAAACTCGTTTCCTTTGCTACCTGGATAGCACGTTCTCAAAAGTTGTCGAGGGTGCCCATCGTTGTTAATCACCGCTGGACAGCTCTCAAACTTGCGAGCTTCGTTCGATACCTTTCTAATGTAAGTGTCGACACCCTGAGGATGGTGTCATGTTTGTCAAAAGACCACAGGAACGTCAGCAAGCGTACCGGAGATTCACGCGCCACACATCTCTGCTTTCCTTGTACTTGAAAACCCACTTCTTGCCAATGTCCAGCTCGTCAGTCACTACTATCACGCGTGATTGCTGTAGTTTTTGCCATATCGCCGAAGCGGCTACTGATGTCAGCGCTGGGGTGCATTGAATAAACCACTCCAGCAATATTATGAGAATATGGCCGATCGACGAATACGAGGTATTTCGTTGAACGAGACGATGTTGTACGTGTCAGATGTGCTTTAGCGCGATCGCTTAATGTGCGATCAGCATGAAAAACATATGCTACACACGAACTGGTGATCATGAAAGGCTTCCAATTGCTTCTGCGTGGCATTTTGGCATTTCCAGTGCACGTACGGCGGCAAAGTGTGTTTCATCACAGGTGAACAAACATCTTACGTAGCCTCGGACGGACGTTGCGCACTCTCAATAGAGGGAGAAATGTAATGTCATTTGTACCATGGCACTTCAATTGGTACTAGAAACTTCGTCCTCAAGCTTTTCCACCCATAATTAGTGCGCCTGCCATCACTACAGCAATGCATTGCAGTAATTAGAAAGAGACAACAAAGTCGTTTCTTAAGCTGCTGCCCGTCAGTATCTCGCCTTACTCCTTCAGCTCGAGCTAAGATTCAAATAGAGCGGAAGCTTGGAATCGGAACACAAAGCTCAGTAGTGAACACGCTCACAAAAGCCGTGTAGAGGCGCATCGATCACGCACGCCAAATATCTTCTTGCTAAAAAATTCAACGGCCCCACAAGCACAGCCACTTGCATCGTACTATCCTGAACGAAATCCTAGTACAAAGCCTACAGCAAAGCCGCTACCAGCAGGCAGCCTGGTCTCCAGTGCCTCCATGACTGACTTGTACATGTAGTCCACGTCTTTGGTATCCAACCCGCCATCCTACCACAAGTAAATCAAGTGAACTCGCCTCATCTTTTCTCATGCCATTACCACAAAAACTCTGGCTATCCCGTACCTGGTTGATGCCCACATACTGTTCAAAGTCACGTTTGAGCTTTTTAACGTCCACGTTCACATACCCCGAATAGCACGCACACTGCAATAACACGAAGAGCGCGCCAATGGCCGCCACTCCTAATTTCGACGCCTTCTTCAGTGCAAAACCTGCACACGCGCCCGTAAAAAAGCCCCACGAGATTTGGCCACCTTTTCCGGAAGCTAAAAACGCGTCCACTTTCTTCTTTACGTTGCCATCATCATCTGGAAAGAGCGCCACAAGCTGCACAATAGCAAGAGTCGATATCTCCTGCATCTTTTTCTTGCTCTTTTCAAAAGGGTCCTCATCAGAAGATCCTTTTGTGGCGGCACAAGTTGCCGGGTGCTGTTCCTCCATACATCCCAAGACTCCGCACGCTCCTGCTGCCAAAGTTGCTGCACTGTAATTGCTCTTTGTATGGTCATGTGTGGCTTGATGCCACGTTGGACACAGTCCTGAGATCCCATAAAACCTTTCATTTAACATGTCATTAATAACATATACAACATCGAGAATCACTGTGAATTTGTTATAGCAGACACTTTAACATGCGTACCTTGAGTTCGAGTTGCCTGCAAACGTACTACGAGGCTTCACAGTCTTGCTGTAACACTTGCATTGCGCGATGCATGATGTATCGTTAATGTAGCGGCCCTGCTGCCATAGAAAGAGAGCGCGGTGGCGTGTTCGGGCGAGCCGGAGCATCTCGGGGCGGCGTCTTTTGAGTTAAGATAATTTGTTAAAAGCGGTTTTACGTTTTCGTTCTGATCTTAGCTGTTCACTACTCTGTCCCATTGTTAATGGACTCAAAAGTGACGGGAGCTACATGGAATATGATGACTGGCTAAAAATTAACTATTTTTCTAATCTGGGTTGTTTGGCGTTTCGTCACCACAAACAAGCTATTCTGAGGTATTAGCAGGGAGCGCTCGCCAGCGAAAACGAAGTTAACAACAATTTGTAGCTGCCGCATGTTGAATAGACCATTCTACTCGTAGCACGCCTCCCTCGTCGTCACCGATCGCTTCCGCGCTTGTTTATGATCAGTCATGTTTCTGAGTAAGAATGGCTATGTTGAAACAGTGCGACTAATGATGTGACAGGGCGCGACTGTTGATGGTACAGGACATAAGTGATGGTGAAACGACGCAACCATTGGGATGGGCAAGGTGATTTGAAGAAACCTACGCAGGAGAGATTGAAGGTAACGGACATCGTAGGTAACCGACAGTGAAGGTAACGGACAGCATAGGTAACCAAAGACATAAGCTCAAATACATTTAGTTCTCAATTTACTTCCTATCTCTAAGCCCGCTCCAACAGGTTATGAGCCAAGCGCGAACAACTCACCTCTTCGTCAGCACGCCCAGGCACGCTTTGCCGCTGAAACGGATCCAACCACTCTCAACGTGGTCACTGATCCTTTTGTGCTGCGCGAAGAGACGCCGTCAGCCCCGGGCACTCCCGAGGCCCAAGATAGCGCGAGTTGTGTCCCTGACGCGAGCTCTGAGCGAATGGGTAGACTTGAGGGACTCCTCGCAGGGATGGCGCAGCAGCAAGCCCAGTTCATGAAAAACCAGCTGAAGATGCAAGATCAGATGAGCTGAAACGCTCAAGCTGCGCCTACAATACCCTACGAGCAACCACTAAACGGATCAAGCGCGTTTACCGACTTTATTCAAGCGCGTGACCGTCGAATGAGGATGGGCTCACTCGATGAGCCGATGCATCAAGCACGCATACCGCCGCCTCACCAGCCGCCGCAACGAATGCGCGTGCCGCCGAATCAGCCGCCTCAGCAAGACGAGCGGTATCGGTCACCTGAACCGTCGCACCCTTTCGTGACACCAAATGATTATGGGTTAAAGATACCTAAACCCAGAGACCTGGACTGGCATGGATTTGCTAAGTTCACGGGTAAAGAGACATATCCAGGTGTGGGCGTTGACTTTAAAGCCTGGGGAATGCGCTCTCTGAAACGGCTTGGCGCAGCACAGATGATGAGCGGGGGTGATTGGCCAGAAGAGTTCAAGATTCTTGCATTGAGCGGTAAGCTGGAAGGTTCAGCTCTCAGCTACTATGAGAAGATTCTACCGGTATGGTGTGCTGTGTTGAACACACTAGAGCACGTCATGAACAGCATGCTGATGCTGTACATGACTCGATACCATCTACGAAAGGAATTGATCTTATGACGAGAGAAAAAGAGCACAGCAAGACATGGCCTGAGCATAACCAGCATTTGATGTACGTGGCGGAGTGATCTGGCAACTCGGAGCAGAGTGTGTTATAATGTCTTTGCAAGTCAGCGCCTGGACACATTAAGACTGCAATGCTGACAAGGCTGAATGCGCAGAGAATGGACTATCTAGTGCAAGCCGCTGAGCTTTTTGCGTTTGCGATAGACTTCGACATCAGCATGGGGAAGACGAGGGTCGAAGGAGGAAGCAGCCGAGCGGGACGAACAATTTGCGAGCAAGCAGTTCAATACCCTAACAGTGCTCGAAGAGATCAAGTCGGGCGTGGAGGAAGATATGTAGCAAGGGTTGCTAGTACCTACACACGTACATGTTACGGATGCGGTGAGACTGGTCACATCAAATCCAAGTGCCCCAAGCAACGAAGTGGTGAAAAGGTGTCTTCAAATCAAATCGCGTTAGCTATTGGTACTGGAACAAAAACTGACTCTGACTCGTGGATATTGGACAGCGGGTCGAGCGTGCACCTTGTAAAAGATGTGAAAATGCTTAAGAATGCGATTGATTGTGATCAAACGTGCCGCGCGGCGAACAACACAATAGTTCGAGTGACTAAGAAGGGAACAGCTGAGCTGAGGACGGCTGTCAATGGCAAGGAGGTTATACGTGACCTAAGCGAGGTTTATTATGCTGAGAACCTCGCTGATAATATCATTAGCTATGGCATATTGGAAGAGCGTGGTGTGTTTCTCGAGCGAGACGGCAATCTGAGCTATGTGGTACGCCAAGAGGATGGCCTGAAGATATTCGAGGTGCTCCGCCGCAATAACGTGTTAACAGTCGACGCAATGGGTGAGAAAACGAAGGAAGCGCGAGTTCAAGTTGTCAACTCAGCCTTGCTACAAGGTAACGATGAAATTAATGAAGCTGTATTGAGTACAACTCTTGTGGAGTTGCATCAGATGCTTAATCATCTTGGGTACGATACTGTCGAGCGCATGGCCGACTCTAAAGGATTGGGCATTCACCGAACGGACCGGGCCAGGCCAAATTGTCTTACTTGTGCAGAAGGCAATCAGAGCAAACTCAACCAGTCCAAGAAGGATGCAGGCAAGAACGCGCCTATTGACAAGCTTGGTGGTGTGATCGGCAGTGACATCAAGGGACCAATGACACCACTAGATCGACGCGGTAATCGTTACCTAATCAACTTCGTCGACTACTCAACAAATTATGTCCGCGTGTTCCTGGCCAAGAACAAGATTGAGGCGACATCGACCTTCAAACATTTTCTGCTTTATTTCGAGAAGAGATTTAATTGTCTAGTTCATGTGCTGCGAACGGACGGTGGCAAGGAGTATGTCAATGTCGACATGTTCTGCAAGTCAGCTGGTGTAATGCGCCAAGTGAGTGAGGCTTCAAATCAGGCATCGAACAGAAAGGCTGAAAGGATGCACAGGACGATACTCAACATGGCAAATGCATGCTATTTGCGAGCGAGCTACCTTCATTATTTTGGGGGGACGCCGTTGAGTAAGCTGCCTATGTTTTGAATCGAAGCTCGTGTAGCGCTAACTCCAAGCGCCCATCGCCGCTAGAAGTGTTGACTGGAACAATTCCGAACATGGCGGACATTGTAACATTTACGAGCTCTTGCTCAACGTTCAGGGATCCTGGGAAAAAAGCACGGAAGTCACGATCTCAAGTTGGAATGATTATTGGTAAGGATGATGAAACTAAGGGCTTCAGAGTCTACCTGCCGAAGGAGAAAATTGTGATCACTACTCAGCATATTCGTAACGTCGAAACGCTAAATAGCGCACAGAAAGCTCAGCTACAAAAACGGTTCGAACACGAACATTTCATGCTGCGGCGCGCCGAGATGGATCGTGACGAAACCACGAAACGGAAGGAGCCTGCAAATTTAAAGAAGAGTGGTTTGAAGGCAGAAAATTTTTTGGTGTCAAGTAACAACTCTATCCCGAATGAAAGAGATGGAGGTGAGGTCGAGTCGTTAGTAGAGGATTGACAGAAGAAAGCTCGGATGCAGACACGCAACATGGGTACAAAGCACGTGCTGGTCTATAGTGTGAAAGCTATCACGATTAAAGACCCCAAGAACTATCACGAGGCGATGAAGGACCCTCGAGTCAAGCATTGGAAGGAGGCAATGCACACAAAGATTGACGCATTAGAGCAGAATCATACGTGGGAAGTGATACGAAAGCCACGTAAAGCAAAGCCACTTCATTGTAAGTAGATTACAAGCTCAAGATGCACGCTGACGGCACGATCGAAAGATACAAGGCGAGGCTGGTGGCGCGAGGAGATGAGCAAGTTTATGGTATCGATTATACCTACACTTTCTCGACCGTTATGGAAATGATTTCTGGCAAAGTGATTCTTGCAGTTTCAGGAATCTGGGGATTACCTGCGCAACACTACGATGTGCCGAGTGCTTATGTCAAAGCCGAAAAAGAATAAGGCTTGGAGATACTCCTCCATATTCCGAAAGGTATGGATATTGAGGCCAAGTTGTCGGACAAGTTCGGAGTGCAGGATAAAGGACATCTTGCACTGAAACTAAAAAAGGGTCTGTATGGACTTAACTAGTCTGGAAGTTTGTGGAACCTGATGCTCCACGACATGCTCATGTCGCTGGGTTTCTGTCAGTGCTATACGGACAGTTGCTTGTACATTAAAAATGATAGTGACGGCAAAACGCTCGTTGGAATCTACGTGGATGATGTGCTGGCGACCGCAACCAGTTCTCAGAAGGTCAAAGATTTCTTTAATGACATGCAAGTGGTTGAGCTTAAGAACCCTGGGGTGGTCTCCAAATTCCTTGGTATATTGTTTCGTTTTGCTGACGATAATGGGTGGATCTGAGCCAAGAACCTGTTATTGATTAGATGCTCGAGAGGTTCGGATTAGTCGAGTCGGCAGCGGTCAGGGTGCCAATCGGCGGAGACGACGGAGACGAAGAAGGTGCGCCGCTACCTTCTGATGGGAAAGGTTCGCCGAAAAGACCAACTGTGCAGCCTTTCCAGTCGCTAGTCGGTAGTCTGTTATGGATATCTCGATGCACACTCCCCGACATAGCGTTTGCGGTGAACCGAGTGACTCGTCGCTCGCACGCACCGAGTGAAGGCGATTGGCGTCTAGCAAAGAAGATCGCAAAATATATCAAGGGCACCAAGAGACTGGATTTTATGATGACGGAGACAAGGACTAAATGAAAGATGACGGCGTGGTAGTCGAGGTATTCAGCGATGCCGACTACGCTGCAGACAAGAGTGACCGGAAGTCGGTTAGCGGTGGTGTGTTCATGGTGGGCGGCATGATTATAGGCTGGACAAGAAACAGAAATGTGTTGCATTGTCAACGATGGAAGCCGAGTATGTGGCGGCTTCGCAAACATCAGCTGAGATAATAGGCATCGTGGAATTGCTCAAGGAGATCAGCGTGCAGATGCAGTCATGTACGACTTTACACGAGAATGGCCAAGCTGCCATCGCTCAAATCAAGGGCGAAGACACATCTGGGCGAGAGAAGCACATCGACGTGCGATACAAGTTTGTAAAAGATATTGCAAAAAAGGATTTGGTGACCGTGCAGTATTGCGAGTCCAAGAAAATGCGTGCGGACATCCTGACCAAGACCGTCCCAGCACCCCGACTTAGCGAGCTGCGTGGACTGATGATGCTCAGTGGTTAAGCATGTCCACACGGGAAGGAGTGTTGATACAGTGCGACTAATGATGTGACAGGGCGCGACTGTTGATGGTACAGGACATAAGCGATGGTGAAACGACGTAATCATTGGGATGGGCAAGGTGATTTGAAGAAACCTACGCAGGAGAGATTGAAGGTAACGGACATCGTAGGTAACCGACAGTGAAGGTAACGGACAGCATAGGTAACTAAAGACATAAGCTCAAATACATTTAGCTCTCAATTTACTTCCTATCTCTAAGCCCGCTCCAACAGGCTAATATGAGCCTTGAGCAAGAATTAAATTAAAATTAGGTGTTTTTCGATTGGCTCATTTCGTTCGATTTTCAATCACTTTTCGACACATTTTGGCAGGTTAAAATGACAAAATCTCACTTCTTTTTCCATCAATTCTGTATCTTTTAGTATTGAACCTGTAAACTACGTTGTCACGCTGCTTTTGAGGGACTCAAGCTTCTCGTTCAAGTGAAATCCAACACCTTTTAAGTTCACTGCGCCAAAAACCTAAAACGTCTAAAAGACGATCAGACTGACACAAAGTTATTTCTTCGATCTCTGCACTAAAAAGGCTTCAAAATGGCACAAAACGCTTCGAAACGAGCACTTTACGCTGGTGCGTCTTTCATTTTAAAAACAGGCTGCATCAAAAATGCGAGCAAAAAGCGTAATAAAATATAAACAAATGGGACCAAGTAGCATATCTTATCTAAAGCAGTTAGCTCTCTCCATAACAGCATCAACTGCATACTAAATTTTGGGCTGCTAAAGCGAGCGATTGTTAAACGCTTATAGCCAATGGCGTGCCCCCGTCATGTTGGATGTTGTTGGTATTTTTACTCCATTCACAAGTTTTTTACGATAACATGAGATGACATATCTGAGAAGGGTTACACCTATTCCGCACGTCTTTTGCCTTTGTTTCTCTTAACAAAGTAGCCCTCCAAGCTCTTTTGCTTTGATGCTGCAGTCTTTCTTGAAATGATGAAGCGCCTAAAGGCGCACGATCCTAACGATTTTTACAGCATGTTCCTATCGAGCGCATTTATCAAGCGTGCCCTCTAGCAAAACGTCCATATCTTCCTGCATTTTTTCCTAGGGCACCGACACTGGCGGTTCCTCGTCACCACTCTCCATATCATCCTCGCCGCCACGTTCTGATCCGGCGAGACATCATCTTAGGATCCCCTCGTCGCTGAGTTTATCAATGATGGGCAGAGTGCAGTCGACTTGAAGGTAGATCTGAGCGTCCATTGTGGCGACGGCATTGTGCTGTGGGATTCTTATTAAGAGAGCTGAAAATTGGCTAAACGGATCAATTTCTTCGGCGTTGAGTACATAATTGCGAACCATGCGACTTTGAGCGGAAAGCATGCCGATATTTTCATTACCTTGGCGAATGTACGCAGGTCGAATGCTTCACGACTCGACGAGAATATCATTTGGCTGGCGGATAGTGAACTTGTTCTTATGCTGAGAGGATGATCACTCGTGGCGTCGAACGTCTCCAGGATGTACTTGTTGTAGCGCGTCTTGTAACGGGGCACCCTGAAGCTTGTACTGGTGACAGTACAAGCTACTTATTCTGATAACAGAATAAGGCGGTGCCTCGTAACTTCACGTACACTCGTACGTGCAGAGGAAGACGGTAAGAAGAAGCGAGTACTCGGTTAGAGTAAAAAGTAGAACTGTATTTATAATAGTTAATGTCTGCAATAAATCACTATTTATCTTCATCTAACTATGTCTAAATACAAATGTGTAAATCAGTTATCTGCTCACCACTCATTGCGTGCGTCTGTCGTGGCGCGTCTTCGTTGGTTGATATAATGGCCTATATCAACCAATTAGGAACTACTTGGAAGTGCTACAGAATATTGTCCTTATGACAATATTCTGAGAATATAACTCTTATAGTTATATTCTATTAACAATTTCTTATAAATTGTTATGTAACGATTCACCCCGTTACATCACCCCCCTTAACCATCAGTCACTTTAGTGACTGATTGACTAAATGGATACTCGTCCCAAATCATTTGGGACGGGGTTTGCACTTGTTGGTCCGCGTCCACTTTCCAACATCTCATCGCATGGTAAACAAGCCCATGCGATGCGCGAGCAAGGCCGCCGAGAGCGCGTCTGCACGTCTCTGTGCGGACGCCGAAGCAGAAACTACAGCAACTGATATCCCATCGGTTGCTGAATCGACTCAGCCTGTATCACCTGGTGATGCAGGCGCTGGTCATGAAGACACTCGTGTCTTCACAGAGTACGAGCTCGGTGTCTCGTACTCTCCTGATACGGATGACGGATCCGTATCGACGGCAATTGAATCCAAGCCGCCTGCCAAGCGTGGCATGGACGATGCTTTGCGTCGCAGCATCTTTGGTTCATCTGATGAGTCAGATGAACCATCGCCGAAGCGAAGGCGCTCGAGGTCGCGAGACTCGGGCGCTAATAGCGGTGTCGTTTCTCCAATGGACACCACTTCACAGCGAGGTGCCAGTACTTCTGTCGGCACGTCGCAGGAAGAGCGGGACCGCAATGTGTTGCGTCTCGCTCCAGAAAAGAAGGCATGGATGCCTCCTAAATCTGTCATGGATCACTTGTCGGCGACGACGAGTGATCGTTATCGAACACGATTGTTCGATTCGTCAAGGATCCATCACCTTGACCCCAGCGCGAAAGACTATCGCGCTGAACATGAGTTCTTCATCGATGCTTTCTTCAGACATCGATGGTGCAGTGGGAATCACAAACGTGATGGTCCCTCACTACTTCAGGCGTGGAACGCCTACATCCATAATCTCGAGGATGTAGGTCGTGACGCTTGGAACGACAAACTTATCAAAGCTCGTGATAAGTTTGAAAAGCGAACCCCGACAGGTGCACGCTACAAGCTGCATCGTCTGTCAAGGGAGAAAGGATTACCCTGCCTCTCTTAGGGAGACTCGTGCCCATGTTGTGTGAACAACTCTGCACGAGCACCTAAGGAGGCTTACCTCCTTACCAGCCCGTGGTGGCGCGTACGTGTCTCTACTGAGATGTACGAAGGGATTGACAACCTGAAATCCCTTTACGACCGTGCCGGGAAGACTTTCTCCGGCGGTCCTTCTGCGGCACAGGATGTGTCGCGTCGTACTGCTCGACCAGACCCAGTACGTCAACCATCAATTGGGAGCGGGGCTCCCAAGAATCCCAGGACGGGGGATAGCCGCGCCACCGGACGAGGTAACTCGTCCGACGTCCGTTCACGTCGCGGTGGTTCAACAGCTGCTCTACTAGATAGCGCTGGCCACCGCGAGAGTCCTCTAATGGAGGTGGAGGAGGAGGAAAGACGCTCTCCACACGATCATGTGGATCGGTGTGTTCCCGAGAGCTTCTTTGATCGCGTAACGCAAGGGTTACGCGACGATCTCGAGCATGAGCGGAATAGGCGTCTCCAGATGGTGGACACTGCCTCGAAGCATCGAGCTGAGTTTGCCTTTGCTCAGCTTGAGAACGAGAGATCTCTGACATCTCTTCGTGACGAGCTAAGGGTAGCTCGTGGGATTGTTGATCGGTCTCGGGCTGAGATAACTGCTCTTCAGACCCTTGTTGATGCCCACCATCGGGAGCACAAGGCTCTCTGCGAGATGCTTGAGCGCAAGGGCGTTCTTCATCGGAAGAAGCAGCGTACTGATGGTACGGCTTAAGCCGACCAACGTAAAACGTGGGATGCGTTCGCATCTTACGTGGTAACTCGATCGTGTATGCATTGCCTAGGCGGTGCAATACACGAAATGGGCCAATGTACTTGGGTAGTAGTTTACTGCTACCCAAGTTAGTCACTACATGTTTTGGTAGATTAACCGTAGACAGTAGGACTAAGTCACCTTTATTAAATAAAAGAGTGTTTGCCCTTCCATTCTTGTCAGCGTTTTGCTTTTGCTTATCCACCGCTTCGGCGATGGAGTCTTGCACAAAACGGACTACCGTTTCACGAGCCAGTATGAACTCATCTGATGACTCGTTAGCTTCAGTGTGCTGTGAGCGCACTGCAGCAACAACAACCTTTTCTTCAGTGAGGGCTTCCGCACTCTCGCTGGGATCATTGTCTTCAGTGAGGGCTTCCGCACTCTCACTGGCATCATCTTCTTCGATATCGATGTTATCGATATCGGCATCAAACGCAATGACTTCTTCGTCAGAGCGTGATGAGCGTGAACCAAATCGGTTTTTGCTCGCGCGAGTCCCTCCCCCTTAAACCAGAGTTACACTCTAGTAAGGTGGGTACACGCGGATGGCGCAAGCCATTCACGTAAAACGGTGTATGTGTCGTGGACGCATGCACCGAGTTGTTGATGGCAAACTCTACCATTGGCAAAAACTCACTCCAACTTTTAAAGGAGTGTACGTATCCTCGAAGTATCTCTTCGAGGACACGGTTGGCACGTTCCGTCTGACCATCTGACTCTGGATGATCAGATGTTGACATCTTCAAGCGCGTTCCGAGTGATTTGAACACGGAACGCCAGAAATCAGCAGTGAATCGTGGATCTCTGTCTGATACGAGTTCACGGGGCAACCCATGAAGTCGGAAGATGGTGTCAATAAAGACACAAGCACAGCCACTTGCCGTGATTGTCTCTGGTACAGCCACAAGGTGTACCATTTTGCTGAATCTGTCAACAAATACGAGAATACCCGTATTCCCGCGTGCGTCTTTGGGTAACCCGAAGACGAAATCCATTGAGATGGATTCCCAGCACTCAGCCGGAACCGGTAGAGGCTGTAAAGGTGCACGCAGTGAAGGACTTGACTTCACTCGTTGGCAGACTTCGCATGCGCGAACATACTTTCGCACAAACTGATACTGGCGGGGCCAGTAAAAGTCTCGACTTACCGTGAGATATGTTTTCTCTCGGCCACGATGTCCTCCTATAGGAGCATCGTGATACTCGAACATGATCCGCAAACGCAGATCAGTATCATCTGGAATGA